GTGGGGTTCTGCAGGTGAGAGGCTTTTTGGAATCTGTAAGCCCACTTTTGGAATGGGAGGTGATAAATATTTGGTCAGCGTTGTCAGTTGTCTTTCCCTTTGTTTACATGGCGGGGGATTTCCAGCCAGTAAATGAATGTGTCTGGGTGATGCCACTGGTTTCTAAGGATGTGGCAGGTGACAACCTGTTCCTACTTTAACAACCATTGACAGGAAAGATAGTATATAATAATATAGATAGTAAAGGAAAATTTAGAAAAAGTCTAGTGTTCAGACAAATGCCTGAACAACCATAGTTCCATCTAAACGTATGTTTGGACCAAACCTTGAGCTATTACCTAACAGGGATTGTTGGAAGAAATCTAGTGATAAGCATTGGGTTTCTAAATGATGCTTTTGGAGATTTTGCAGATAAATATTTACAGCCCGTTATGACCAGGCTGTCCTCAGGTCTGTTGGACACTAAACATATCATCCAGAGGTTGGAAGAATATAAATGGAATCTTGATCACATTTCCTCCCTCTATTCCCCAGTCCACCATGAGTATGGTATTATGGTGTTGCAATTTCACTTATAGTATAGAGCAATTATTCTAACAATTAAAAAAAGCATTCTGGCGAAAGCAGTTGCATTTGTTGCACAATTTCTATTTGTTTGACAGGTCTTGCCATCTGCAAAAATGTGGCACCAAGCTAAAAAGATTGATAGGATGAGCACCATCTTAAAATAACAAACAATTTAGAAGACAAATCTATTTTTTTGGTAGGACTGTTAATGATTTCATTTTTTTTGTTAATGGATGGTTGGAAACAAATTCATAAAATATATGAATAACACCTTTTTTTTTCCAAAAAAGTATTTATTGAAGTAAAAGGCATATCAGGTCATATACAGATACGGAGCACAGTCCGCGTATATACATCTGGCCTATTCTCCCGTTACGCAGACGGGTAATCAGATATTCATTTGAAATGTGAATCGTACTGAAGCAAAATAACACATTATAACAGTTGAACGATATACACCAAGAAAGTGTTGATTATAAATGGTAATCTAGATAAATATGATGGATGCAGATCTATGGAGTAGAAAGTGCTCAGATAACAGGACAATGGAGCATAGGACAGCGATATCATCTAAATGCGCGCATATCGTATGAGTCCGTATCCGGGGCATGTAAGTTTCTTTTTATAGATATAGTCAGTTGTGTAAGAGAAAGGTGTGAAACAAAGAAAGAAAAGAGAAGGGCACATCAGATGAAAAGAGATAGAAAAGGTAATGTCTTAGAGGGGAGGGAGAGAGAAAAAAAAAAGGGGGGGGGTCAAGTATTAGGTAATGGCTGTTAAACCAATCATATCGTGATATATTAGTCAAACTAACGTATATTATTCCTTTGATTTAAGATACAGTCCGGTTAGTCTCAATCCATGTAGCAATTCTGGGGGTGAGAGCTTTAAATGTTGTTCGTGCCCCTAAATCTCGTCTCAGTTATTCATAGAAAGATGATAGATATTGGTGGTTTGAAAATGTTTCCAACAAGCCCAAGTCTTCCTGAATCTCTCGGGGTGCTCCCTTGCCACTGAAATATAACAACTTATTCAATCTGGGATTCACATTTAAAGAGCATTATAAACAGGTCCACTTTTAGGATTTACCATTGAGAACTCTAGTAGAAGAAAACAATTGGTAATCCAATCTTATGGGAAACAAATTGGCAAGATTTCAATCCTCCACACTAGTAGTACCTAGGACAATACTGGGAGGGCAATTCATTTATCTGTGACTGCATTGCTTGAGTACGGGAGACTTTGAAAACAAGCAAATGAAAGAATGAGGGGTTTCTTCAGAGAGGTTGTGATAAAAGGAATGGAAAAGCAAGCGGAAAAGTAAATACTCTGGAGGTTGAGACAGAATTGACCTATTACTTAATAGAGAAATGAGGAGAGGAGTTAATGGAGGAGAAAAAGCTGCTCCTGTAATCTTTTGTATTAAAATATTATGGAGTTTTATCAAATTAAAAAACCTTTGAAAAGGTACCTACTGGTTGTTTATACAGATTAGCCCCTTCCCCTTCTCCTCACCCCTTTCCCCTTCCCCAATGCCCTACTTTTTCCTTCCTTCCCCTCTTTTTTACTCTTTCTTAAATACTCACCAACAGTTCCACCTAAAAGCAAAAAGGAGAAATGTTTGTCTTCCCAAGTCTCACTGGCAACCTTGCACTACAATAAGTACTAGCTGTCAGGGACCATCGCGACGCATGCGTCTACACAGGCGAAGGTGTCTGCCAAGACGTGTAGGTGGCAGGGCACTAGGACCCAGGCGCACCCGTTGTCTTGACAGTACTAGGCAGACACTAGGACCTAGGCTGCACCTGTCAGGTGCAGGGTGGGCTATTTAAACCAGCTCTGCACAAACACTTGTTGCCGAATGGTCTTTGTATGCGGTTACCTGTGTTGTGAGTATCTTGATCTGGATTGTTTGACCTTGCTGCCTTCTCCTGTCCTGACCCTTGGCCTGCCTGACTCTGCTCCTGGATGTTCCACTTTAAATCTGATCTTTTGGTATTGACCCTGCGTGTGACCCGACTATCCTTTGCCTACCGTTTTGTACCTCACCGACCCGCTAGTTACCGACCCGGCCTGTATGACTCTGATTTAGCTCATCCATCCATCCATCCATCCCGCAGGGATCACTAGGCTCCCTCACATCAGACTCTTAGCCCCCTGGGGCTCCTGTCAGACTCCTCTACCCCTGTTGGAGATACCTAGCAGCTGCGACCTGGTACCGGAGAGCTCCAAGTCCATCCCCACCATCAGGGGCCCTGGTGAACAAGTGCTCCGATGCTTAGACTCCGCACTCTGGGGAGGCTCTGCCAGGGGATTGATAGAGGTGCTGTCAGGCGGTCCGTTACACTAGCTGTGACTGTTGGGTGACTATGAATGCTGACAATTATCTGTGGTAATGACGAGAAACTGAATGTGACACCAAGGCCCTGCCCACATATATTAATAATTACCCTAAAGGGTGCACACATCATAGAGGTTAAAGGCTTTATCTGCCCAGAAATGCTCATATGTTTAAAATTTCTTTAGTGTACCCTGGGAGCCTTCAAAACGCAAAATGCTATATTATGCACATATCATACTCCTTTTTTTTTTTTTTTTTTTTTTAGGTAAATTTTTCACTCCCACCCTTCCACCTCCTGTTGCTTGCTATTAATGGGTGAAGTTTTTCATCATATTGGGGTTGATTTACTATAGTTGGAGAGTGTACAATCTGGCTCAGCTGTGCATGGTAGCCAATCAGCTGCTAACTTCAGCGTCTTCAGTTAACCTTTGACAATAAAACCTGGAAGCTGATTGGTTTCTATGCAGAGCTGCACCAGATTTTGCACTCTTCAGATATAGAAAATCAACCTCATTAATAGGTCAGTTGCAGGGTGCTCAATAACAGGGGATTGGTATTTTTACAAACACTTTTTTTTAGGAATAAAGTTGATATTTGCATAGGTTCCGATGGTCCCAGGAAAATAAAAACAGATCTCATTCTATGTGGAGACACCTCTGGTGACTGACCTTTGATTGCGTTGGTCAGTTTTTCCTAGTTGAATAGAGATACACTTTAAACATCACTTGAAGCTGAACAAAATAAAGGGATCAATGCTGCTTTCAATTAGATACATCTTTAAACGAAGGAGTAAAACCAGTAAAACACATAACACATCGTTAGGTTGGTTAAAACATAAGAATTATCTCAGAATGCTGAAAGAGAAAGGCCAGGATGCAACTAGAATCATCATAAAACAGCAGAGCAGCCAGGGGGTATATCGTTTGGGAAATCTTGTCTGTCTGATAAATATTTCATTGCTCCCTGTGGACATCTTTTTTTCTAGCTACTCCTCAATATAATGCATTGTTAGCTGGGGAGTTCTAATAAGGTCCTAATTATCTGATAACCCGCACATTGCAGTCACAATTGTCATCCGGTTACTGGTAAACACAGACAATTCCGTAAAATAGGGTTTTTTTTCTTTCATTATTACAAATTCGAAAAACCCCGGGCTATTCTAAATGTTCATTTGTTGTCAGCTGTGGATTGTTGATGTTGCTTTGTAAAAAGAAAAAAAAGAAACACAGTTAAACAGGTTTATTTAAAAAGACAAAGAGCAATTTGCAAAGTATAATAACCTATGACAGCAACAACAAAAAGTCACATTTTCAGAGATGTCAAATGAGGGATAAGCTTACCGGGTGATCAAGTAGCAGTGTGATGTAGCAAAATATGGGCAGGACTAAATAAACATAGATGTGGTTAAATTGATTTAAGTTGTAAAAGATCAAGTTTTTTTTTTAAAAAAAAACCTTTGTGCAGAACCTTCCCCCGCCCCCAATACTTGCCTGAGCCCCATCGCGATGCACAAGAGCCTCAGCTCTCTGGGGACTCTCCCTCCTCATTGGCTGAGAAAGGATTGGCTCTCACTGCTGTCAAACACAGCCAATGAAGAGAGAGAAGGGCAGGGCCAAGCTGCATCTCTGTGTCTGAATAGACACGCAGAGCAGCAACTTGGGAATGAGCCTGTTCGGGCACCCCCATAGCATACTGTTACTCTGGGGGCAAAAGGACAACAATTATCCACAAGCACTCAGGACTTCCAGGACTGTTAATATACTCTAATGAAATTCTGTGTCAAAGACCAATGTGAATAAGCAGCAGACGCCATCAATTTGAACAATGTTAGGATATTTATTAAGACTTCGAAAAAGCCTTACCGGCTTAAGAGTTAAAATAGCATAAATGAGGTTCAAAGATATTCAAAAGCCCTGTAAGGTTAAAGTCTCCACTTCACTGGTGTGGTGCTGATGCTGACAGAGTGGCTGGCAACTAGGCTAATTCCATGGCATGGCAGCTAAACACAGTGAAAGGTACCAATCTGTACAGATTGAGGCCATACACCAGAAGTACACAAGGAGTACTTGTAGCTGAAGATCATTCAGCAAAGTCTGAGCACAGTCATTGTCCTTACATAGTGAGTTCGGTGCCAATTCTGGCAGCAGGTTGCGTGAACATGCACTGGTGCAAATGTTTGTGCTGATCAGGGGCAGACTGACAACTCATGGGGCCCCGGGGCAATAGGAAATCATGGGGCCCCTGTGTCCTTGCCCAAACTCAAAAAAGCCTATGAAAAAGGTACCACGGGCATCTCATGGGGCCCCCTACTGACCCCAGGCCCTCGGGCAGTGCCTGAGTTTTCAAATGGTCAGTCCGCCCCTGGTGCTGATGCACAGATTTGTGCATATGCTTGCATATCTCTGCAACCCTGCATGTGCGTGTAAAGTATTGGAAACTATTTCAGGTTTTTTCTTCAGCACATGCACATTCACGTTCCTATTCTGCTATCTGCTTTTCAGCACATGTTAATGTTTGTTCCGAATAGCTCCCTGACACTTTTTTAATAAAATAGGGCTTGGGGTAGACTAAAGAGAAAGTGTGAGTCAAATGAGTTCCATTGTTTGTATTAGTGGGAGCAAAATAGCCCCTTCATTGGTAAAATAGGAGAGTAAAGTAAGTACTAATCATGCCAATCTTTGGTGTCAGTGGGATAAAATAATATACAACACCAGTTTTCATTAAAAAAAAAAATAAACCCCATATAGATGGTGTCAGTGGGAGTAAACTAAGCCTTGGTTCTCATTGTCAGTGGGGGTAAAAGAAGCACCTAGCATGGTTTTAGTTGGAGTAAAATAAGTGGCAATCATTGGTGTCAGTGGGAACACAATAAGGCTGGCCATACACTATACAATTTTATTTAGAAAATTGCTTTAGATTTACCAAAAACCATATAATATGAGGTCAAACCTAAACAACACTTTCAATTGTATCCAATTAGGCGGGCCCTTGCAATACACAGTTAAAGGTAAATCTAAAGAAAATTGGGCAGAAATTGGACAGAAAATTGTATAGTGTATGGCCAGCCTAAGTGTCAATTGATGTCAGTGGGAGAAAAATGAATCACAGTCCAACACTGGTGTTTGGTGGATAACCTACCTGATTACATGCTCCTGTGCTGTTCTGCCTCTCTTTTCCCTTGTGCTGAATATTTTCTGTGACTGTTGGGCAGGAGATCACCAGCACACTACTCGAACTCCAAAACGTAGGAGATTCTGTAAAACTCTTAGGAAACCACCCCAAATACTCATTGCATTTCCACTTTACCCTTAGTATAGTCCTAATAAATACATGTTTGGAATTTAATTTTGCAAAAATGTGAGATGAAATGCCAAACCACTGCTAAAAGGTCTACCTGAAAACGTCTACATATATTTTTCTTCCAATAAAGGAACAATTGAAAGAGTATCAATGCATTTCAAAGGTTCAAAAACATCTCATGAGAATTAGAAAAAACATCTCCATATCAAACATCACTTCAATACCCCCCCCCCCCCCCTTCAGGGCCATAGTTAAAACAAAATAGTTTAAACCAAATACTTATTAATATTGGATATATAATGATTACGTTAGTAGTTTCTTGGCCTTTGACTAAGTTCAATTGTAGTATTTGTTCTTAATTCTGGCCTTACTACTGGAATGGCTAGCTGTAAAGTACCTCTGTTGGTATGAGGAATCTTCCTGTGGGAACAGAAACCAAGGCACCCACTGGGTAAGATGGAGAATGGGAGTAATTCTGAGGGGCCCAATGCCTCAGGGTTTTCACTGTGCTACCTTGTCTGGTCAGGGGTTGGAAAGGCGTGGTGTCAAGCCCTCCCTGGGATTGGTGTCCTGAGGGGTGTGGGAGTAGCAATTTGGGTGTGTGAAACAGTTCTAGACCACAACACCCAAGCTTTCTTCAGCTTTTCTTACCAGACTGCAAGGCCTAGCCAATGCACCTGCAATGTAATTTTTTTATTCTTGCACATTTATTTGCACTCAACATCTGCACTTACAGTTGTGTTCAAAATAATAGCAGTCAGACATCACTAACCGGATCAATCACTGTTTTTGGTAGAAATGATATTTCTACATGGCAAATTTACTAGCAGGTGTAGTAGAGTAATAGAAATCCAACAGACCCAACAATCATGACATGCATGCTGCTGATTCTGTGTAAATGAATCACTAATTGAAAGGGGCATGTTCAAAATAATAGCAGTGTGGCGTTCTGTTAGTGAGGTCAGTCATTCTTTGAAAAACAGGTGGCAATTATTGCCCTTATTTAAGGAAGGAAGGTAGCAAATGTTGTACATGCTGGTTACAGTGCATTTCTCTCTGAAATTCTGAGGAAAATGGGTCGTTCCAGACATTGTTCAGAAGAACAGCGTACCTTGATTAAAACGTTGATTGGAGAGGGAAAACATATAAAGAAGTGCAGAAAATGATCGGCTGCTCAGCTAAAATGATCGCAAATGCTTTAAAATGGCAACCAAAACCTGAAAGACGTGGAAGAAAGCGAAAAAAAACTACCATTGGAATGGATAGAAGAATAGCCAGAATGGCAAGGACTCAGCCAACAATCAGCTCCAGGAAGATCAAAGAAGGTGTAAAATTCCCTGTGAGGACTGTTACAATTAGAAGACGCCTATGTGAAGCCAAGCTATCTGCAAGAAGCCCCCGCAGAGTCCCACTGTTGAAAAAAAGACATGTGCTGAAGAGGTTACAATTTGCCAAAGAGCACATTGACTGGCCTAAAGAGAAATGGCGCAACATTTTGTGGACTGATGAAAGTAAGATTGTTCTTTTTGGGTCTAGTGGCCGGAGACAGTTTGTCAGACGACCCCCAAACACTGAATTCAAGCCACAGTACACTGTGAAGACCGTGAAGCATGGTGGTGCAAGCATCATGATATGGGGATGTTTCTCATACTACGATGTTGGGCCTATTTATCGCATACCAGGGATCATGGATCAGTTTGAATACATCAGAATACTTGAAGAGGTCATGCTGCCTTATGCTGAAGAGGAAATGCCCTTGAAATGGGTGTTCCAACAAGACAACGACCCCAAACACACCAGTAAACGTGCAACATCTTGGTTCCAGACCAACAAGATTGACGTTATGGCGTGGCCAGCCCAATTCCCGGATTTTAATCCAATAGAAAACTTGTGGGGTGACATCAAAAATGCAGTTTTTGAGGCAAAACCAAGAAATAGAGAAGAACTGTGGAATGTAGTCCAATCATCCTGGGCTGGAATACCTGTTCACAGGTGCCAGAAGTTGGGTGACTCCATGCAACACAGATGTACAGCAGTTCTCACAAACAGTGCTTACACAAGGAAATATTCATGAAGTCATTCAAAGGAAAGCAAAATCTTCAAACATTTTTCAGTTTATATAGTGAATGTTTGAGTTTGTAAAGAAGAATACAAACACTGCTATTTTTTTGAAGTCTAATATTCACTTTTCTTCAATTTATTTAGAGGAACAACACAAATTTTATATATTTTTCTTCATGTTCTGATTTGGAATAGAATGTGTCGTGTTCCCAATGCATTTGTGTGTATGGAAATAAAAGCTATTAGAAGGATATTGAGCTTTATTCACTTTTTTCAACACAATGCTTTTATTTTGAACACAAATGTATGTGTTTTTTCCTTTTCACTTAGGATGAAGGGTGTGGGTCTTTAGGCCTACCCTGAAATTTAGGGAGAGGATGAGTGTCCATTAGGTTCCTTCCTTCCCTGCCTTGGGGTGTCTCTCCTTGGTTGAGACCCTTACCTAGCATTTGGTCAACTTTGACTGAGCACGAGGAGAAGAGCCCATTAGGACTTTTGGCTAAGTGGACCTGAGTATGCCTTACCCCCGTCAGGAATGTTGTGCCCCAGGTGTTCAGAGAGGGGTCCTTCCTCTTTGGTACGGGAACCGAAGACACACCCTAACTGGACTTGTAATTTTTGATGTGTAGTTTTTGCTCACCACACCGCTGGCTAAAATTAAAAAAAAAAAAAAAAAAAAGATTAAGTTATCCCACAGTGTGTATTATCTTCTTGGAACATGCTACCTGTAAACTGTCACATGATTTAAAAAATCAAAAGACACATTTTAAATCTGCCTAGCAACAAGAAAAGGAAACGCAAAACGCATCAAAAACACGGCAAAAGCGCAAGTGCGAAAACGCAATGCAGAAACAGCTCAAACACAACCTGCATAGGTGTGAATCTAGCCTTAGTAACTTGCTATTACATTAACCATAAAAAAATACACCATAAAAACAAACAAAAAAAGTTTGAATATTTTATCTGTGTTAAACTTTATACTTCAATATTGAAACAAACCCTGCTACCAGGAACACAAAAATATATTTAAAGATAATGTGTACTAGTTTAAGTAAAAGCACACAAAAAAAGTGTTATTTCCAGTAACTAATAAAAGTCCACCGTAAAAAACATTTTAACATGAAATGACAAAAAAAAAAAATAAAAGCCCAACAAGCCTTGTGCAGAAGGTCACAATAAACGTAAACCTTAGAGCACACATAAAAAAGAAAACAGGATACAAGTGCAATGAACTGTGTATAGAGGAAAGAACAAACCATCTATTCAGAATTTGGCAGTATGCTTAAAGTGGTATTAACCCCAAAACCAAACATTTATTAAATTTCAGCTCACCAATTCTTAGATGTGGTGGCTGCATTAATTTGCTTTTTTAGGTCTTTCACCTGGTGATCTAGCCAGTAAGTCTTTTATCTTTCAACTTATAATAACAGACCAAACTGTCCAGGCAGAGTAGCAGTTAACAGGTTGAGACATACTATTTAACATTGATTAGGGCGCTTACAAAGGTCAGCGTTTATTCATTTATGTAAAACCTTTTTCCCAAAAGTAAAAACAAAAATAAAAACCTCCTTTCCTCAGTCAGAGCATTGAAGATGGGGTCGTGGCTGGGTCTTCCAACATGACAACGACCCGAAGCGCACAGCCAGGATAACCAAGGAGTGGCTCCATAAGAAGCATATCAAGGTTCTGGGGTGGCCTAGCCAGTCTCCAGACCTAAATCCAATAGAACATCTTTGGAGGGAGCTGAAACTCCGTGTTGCTCAGCGACAGCCCCGAAACCTGACAGATCTAGAGGAGATCTGTGTGGAGGAGTGGGCCAAAATCCCTGTTGCAGTGCAAACCTGGCCAAGAACTACAGGAAACGTTTGACCTCTGTAATTGCAAACAAAGGCTTCTGTACCAAATATTAACACTGATTTTCTCAGGTCTTCAAATACTTATGTTCAGCAATGCAAGACAAATAAATTCTTTAAAAATCATACAATGTGAATTCCTGATTTTTT